CACAGTGGCTATTGTGTGCGCTGTGCAACCGGGACCATTTTGATATGCTGCTGTGCACAGTGTTTTTGTCAGCTTCTGATGTGCTTTTAGGATGCGCTTGATACTTTGGATATAGCATGGGCTTGACTGATAAAGGTTACCTTTCAAAAATGGCTGACTTTACTGGGAAGGGGGACTTTTTTCTTGCTTTGGATAGTATGGTTTAAAAGCCATAGTTCTAGAGGCTGTAATGTATGTGAAGAGTAGGGGATTGAGAAAGAAAAGCAAGAAAGATAGGGAGTGTCCCAGAGTGAGACTCGGGCCTTGAGCAACCTCAGCCAATGTCTCCAGTCAAGCAGCAGCATCAGTCAGTAATTTAACTGGGAATTTCTTCCTAGACGCATCCAAACCTCAAAGTGAAGCTTTTCCCTCCACGTCCATGTCTCTGTCTTCGCCTCGTCACTCCACCACTTCTCCTCTCTTCTCCCTCATCCCTCTCTTGTGGAAAACCCAGAGTCTTAAGGGTAAATACTTATGGACAACCACACCCAGAGCTGCTCAGTTATTGCTATATAACCAATCTACTGCTAATATTTGGGAAATGCAAAGAAATCATGAAATCATGTTTAACTGTGTTGTTTCAGCATTTACGAATGTTAACACTCTGTTATAATTCTTTAGTATATTACTTGTGTGGTGTAGAAGAGAATTATCTATGTAGAGATACTGCTTGCAAACCAATGATGGTAAGATGATGTCAGGGGGTAGGACTGGATAAGTCTAACTTCTTCCTACTCCATTCAAGCATGTACTAGGTATAAGCAAATTGATATTGGATTAGCATTTGTTGGATATGTGTGAAATTATGTGTGTTGACATATCAAAGAATCTTACATGCTTGAAAGAATAAATAAATCAAATCAAATCCACTGAAATCAAATAGTGCTGACATAAATGATCTGTAGGTTTAAATCTACACTGTATGAAAAGCCTTGATGCTTATCCAGCATCATAGTCTGATATGGGCTGCAGTGAATAGCAGTTCTCGAGGCCCTTGAATGTCTAATCTCTCTTTCTCTGTCTGTCTTAGGGAGACATGGAGGCCTCAGTGTTTAGACTTCACCCCTGAATGAGCCCTTTCTGGTTCTGACTCACCCATGTAGCTCCAGTGGACACATAAAGACTGCCTGTTTGCCACTGTTACAGAACATCCACATAAGCAGGAAAAAGAGGAGCACAAGGAGGGAAAGATGGAGGTTAGTTAGATCTAGAGGTTGAGTGACTCCTTTTATTGATGTAGTTTCCTCTCCTGTACTTAAACATAAACTTTATCATCTCAGCGTTGGATGCAGTTCACCCTGAATACAAGAAAATGGATGTTTAATGCCTGATTGTACTTGGATTGAAATCATATTCTTCTCTTTTCCATTGATACTGTTTTCTTTCTTTCAAAATCCTACCTTGCTCAGCTCGGTCAAATGGCTGTTGTTGAATGACACTGAACACTTGTTTTAACTTAAAGGCTTCCACATCTCTTTCATGAGCTCCGTGATTTGACAAAGTCTTATTCACGATCACCGTGGGCTATGTTTGCCCACACTAATGGTCTGAGTAACTACAGCAGTAGCAGGAGATGACAGTCCCAGTTAATTTAATGTAGAGCAGTGGTACCCAGTGTTTTCTCATTTTACTGACAACCCATAATCTCAAATATTTATCCATTACGTTGATCAAACTCTTTCCGCTGTTTAGTCATTATTTTTTTTAAACTATTTTAACCATAACTTTTAGTTATTTCGCTTTATACACTGCTTGAAGCTAGCTATTTCAGCATTTGTCTATTACTTTCACCCATTTAACTATTTATTCATTAATAAAAAATAAAACTGCAGCTAAGTCAGTGTAACTCTGTGGTGTTGCTCCTAATGTTTGGAACTATTCAGCGTTCCCATGATCCGCTGTTACTGTAAAAGAAACAGTCCTTATAGAGTCAGTGGAGATGTCATCACACTAATTCTTAATCCACTCTGAGGCTAAATATTTCAGCCATTCCTCTAACTTATAGCAATGTCACATTTATCCATAACCATTTCACTTTTTTATATATTACTTTTAGCTCTTTCACCATTTATCCAACACTTAAACAAGCTATTTCAGGAGTTTATCCATTATTTTACTATTTATCTGCTACTTTATTCTAACTATTTTAACTGTTTTCCATGTATTTAAGCTATTTGAACAGTTGATGTATTACTTTATCTATTTTAATCATTTAATGTGTTTTTAGGTGATTAAATTTCTCGGCTTGCTTGCTAACTAGCTTCCCAGCATTCTCAGATCTTAGTGTTCACTTACAGTTGACTAAATATGAGGATTTCTTTAAAATTAAAATCATACTTTATATTTTTCTAAATTAGCTGAGCTACTCTACAGTCTTTCCAAATACCCCTGGCAACTCATTAAATCCTGGGGCACAGGACCGCTGGTCGAGAATCGCTGGTCTACAGTACTTGAATCTGCTGCATTTTGGTGTGAAAAGGCCATTTTTGTAATTTTTAACAGTGCAGCAAAGAGCAAAAGGACTTTTAGAAAGCCAAATCCAGGATTTTGAGGTCTAGTTCACAGCTTGCTCATATGCAGCGATGCGAGTTTATTGACTAATGGAGGAGCTTCAACAATCAAACAATGGTTGCTATGGATGTCAATAGGCAGAGCGCTCGTTTTACATAGGATGAGAAAGAGAAAGGGAGGGATTGAATTTCAGAAGTCAGTTGTTCCATTCTGTGAGGGCCAATGGAAAGAAACTCTGGTCAACATTGAAGGCAGTCCAGCTGAGGCATGCTGGATATACAGCACACACATCCACTCACCCTGTTCACAGAGCTGCAGTATTATGTCTGCTGTCATAAACTAGAAAATTATTGCCCCCACTTCACTAGCAACATCTTGTCATTGGCTGTTGCAGTGTATTTTTTGTGTGTGAGAGACAGAATTTTTTTTGTAGGTATATAGTTCATATGTTAAAACCAAACGTTTAGATTCTTTCTCACTGTATGAACATTTGCCCGAGGCAAATGCTGCATTTACGATGTGTGTGTGGTCTGGTATTACTCATGTTGTGGGGACAAAAAGCAAGTCCCCAAAATGTAAATCATTACATTTTACAGTGATGACTTAGTTTAAGGTGGTTAGGTGTTAGGCAAGTAGTGGTTAATGGTTAAGGTAAATCTCCAGGAAATGAATGTAAGTATAATGCCCCCTGAAGTGATGGAAACACAACTTGAGTGTGTGCATTTCCTCTCTATTAAAACAACCCCGCTTCAGCCAGCAGCACTAATCTGGTGACACAAATGTGAAAAACGTACATCTCCTCCAATGTCGTTTGGGCAAGAAGTTAATCTGGATTGTCTCTGGAAAAAAAAAAAAAACTAAGCAAAACAAAACTTCTCCAAGATTTGGCTCATTGCTTTCTTCCTTTATAAACAGGAAATGAGCTCATGAGTATTCCCTTATTTCCTGTAACACCTCCTATCTTTCCTGAGGGAGGCTGCCCTCAAGCCAGTCACTGCTGATCCCAAGGATGTGTCTTTGTCTGAAAACTACGCACCCTTTCTCCCTTCCTCTGAATGATTTATAAGACAACAAAATGGGACTGGTGTAAAGTTTCCGGCTTAACCAGTCTGAAGCCTTTTAAATCAATGCTTATTCTTGTTAGGAGCAGAAGGAAAGAAATATATTCATACAGGATGTGTGCATGACAGCTGGATAACGGCTTCATTTTCCAACTGTCCTTTTCCCAGATTGCATCAGTCCCATTGGTACAATGCCTTCCTTTCTGGTCATTAACAGCCTTTTCACTGTCCTGCCTGTCTCACTTACATCATCTCATTTCATGTCCATTTATCTTCCTCTGTAGTGAATAACCCCCGCTTGTAGCCATTTCTGTGTGCATGTGATTAAAAATAGATCAGTGCTCATGCAGTGTGGGAAAAGATGTATGTGCGTGTATCAGACAGGTGGCTGCAGTGAACCAAAAACCAACCTCCCAATTCCTGTCTCTGCCATAGAGCAGAGGAAATGACTTATACATTCTTATAACCCCTACCTGCTTATCTCACTAACACAGACCCACGGACCAACATACAACCACTCAGTTAAGTGTTAGTTAAAACACTGCTGCTGACTCGGTCATCCTACATATAGCGGAACTGTGCGCTCATACTGGTCCCTTGTGGGTTTATGGCGGTAGATGAGGTCACAAACATCTGATATTTCAGTAAAGAAAACAAAGAGACAGGAAACGGCGGTTTTGTAAAAGCACCAAATCAGTGAATCCCTACAAGTATAAGAAACTTTCCAGGCCACTTCAGGCCAAGCCTGTCCTTTGGTGCAAACGTCCACAGAAACATGATAGTATTTTTAGGACCTACCAGCACTTTCTGACCATAAAAATCGCATATGTATACATAAGTTATAGCTAAAAGTTCTTTCTCTTAAATAAATATAATCAACATGCTCCGTTTGGTGGATTCACCGCGCTGTTCTTGTTGATGGTGATGATTTACAGAGTTTCATTTTTAGGCTTCAGCAGCTGCACCTTTTGTTGATATTTTAAAAAGTGATTACACATTGTTTAAAGTGCCATTCAAGTCTACATGCTGTGTAGTTTGCCATATTACATATTGTGAACTTGTACCAGAATAGAAACCAAAAATATTCAGATCACTCCAAATTTAAATGAATCCATTCTTTTTGTTATGAGTTATGTTTAAATGATTTCTTGATCAAATACTGTTCCCACTTTTTAGGTTAGGAAGATATGGGTCACCAGTGGATTAAAAATGTGATGCACTGAGTGTTAACATGCCAAACTGTTGATTAAGAAAATTCCTTGAGATCTGCATCTCTAGTAACTACTGCTTTAGCCAATAGTCAGTAGTTAGATATACTGTATTCTTGTATGTTTCCCCGTACATGTATCACATAACAGAAATAGCTGTTAACATTTTACAGATAAAGATTGTATCAAAATGTATCACATTCTTTTATTTTTTTTAAACTGGAAATATAGGTCTTATGTACAGCCTCCACTGAATAACATTATGTAACATATATAATTGTTGTTTGGTGTTAGTTTAACACTTAAATGTGATCATAGGTTCCAGTCCTGTGTTTTCCATTATGGTCGTGGGGTGACTCTTCTGTTTACATTTTACAGATTGTGCCTTTACAGTCTAATGTAGGTCAGTGGAGTTCGGTTTTCTTCCACTGGCACAGCTGGAAATATAATTCATAGTCCATAGGTATGATTAAAGAGACATTTGTTACCACCGTGTGATCTAATAAAATCATTTAGGACTCTCTACAACATGGGCATGCATGCATATACACAGACCCTCAGACACTCACACACACATACAAACGGTATCTACAAATGACAGTGAAGGAAGGAAGTGTGTAGGAAAGACACGTCCTGCAACATTATCACAGGACGTTTTCTGCTAAATCGTCCCTTTTCTAAACCACTACTTGGTCCTGGTACTCCATCTTGGGGGTACTGAAAGAACTAGAGTTCAAACTACAGTAAGTGTTTTTCCACCACTGACCATGGCTGAGATGCTGTAGAACCTCTCACACTGTAAAACCCACCTCCCCTCAGTCCGCTCAGCCATAGCTCAGGACAGATGTCAACAATTACTGTACTGCTCCCCAGCCCTCTGAGTATAATTGCATCCAACCCTCCCCACCTCCATTCCTAGAAAAAATGCCTTTGTCTCTGCCCTGAACACAATACAAGCGCATGTATTGAGCTTGTATTTGCTTTTTCTCTTGCTCTCCTGATTTTGCCCTCTCAGCATTCAGTGTTTTCATGAGCGCTCTCATCATTATGGGCTGCTTCCTTGAACCCAGGGTCAAAACCCTTCCCATATCCCTGTGCCAACAACAGGCAACTGTTGAAATGATCATGCAAATGTGTATAAAGGTCATATATGTAACCAGTAAATAATTGCAGTGAAACATTTTTTTCAAGTTGGAAATGTACATATGTATGTAGAATAAATCAATATATCACAGTTACTCATTATTTGCACAGTTTTACATTTCTCCTAAATGTTACCATTACTTCTTTGTTCCTGATTTTATTATCCTAGTTTTCACTTTGCTTTGCTCTTGAACTTTAGATGTATTTATCTGGCTTTATTCCTCAAGTCTGGATGTATTAATATGACTTTTATATTTCTATTCTGCGTTTATTTATCTGACTGGTATTAATGTATTGCAGATGTATTGCAGATGTATTTACCTGGCTTTAATTTTGAATTCAGAACTAACTTTTCGCATATGGTTTTATTCCTCACCTCTGGATTGATCTGTCGCTCCGTCGGTTCCTGTGCGCTCAGCTCCCACACCGCTGCCAGCAGCAGCAATCGGACAAGCGATTTCAGCACTGGTGCCATTACTTGACTCTCCAAAAACAGTTAAACGCAGATAGATTTCTGTGCAACACTAAGTGCAATACTTGGTATTTGTCAAAACATTATCTTAACAACAGGGATCCCCAAACGTATGTCCAGGCGCAAGCGATATCGACTTAGCGGAAAGCACAAAACGCTTCCAGAGGATTATGCAACAGCACGTCTCCGCAACTTATTACTCGAGTTAAATAAAACGGGAAGAGTACTTGTCCAGTCTGTGCATTCTTCTCACGTCTAGGCAAATTTTAACCAAATTATCGGAAGTTACTTGTAGCAGGAAGTCTGAAAAGGGGGGCTGTGCCTATTTTATGTCCAAGTTAGGTTTGCGCTTTGCTCCAGATGCTGCAGCCGACTTTGTTTTCGTGAAGCAGTCCAACTCCTCGCTGTTCTCTCTTCCCTATCCTCCACTTCTCTTATTTTGATCCCCTATGCGCTTCCCTCTCTCCCCGCTGCAGACGTGGTAGTTTGATACTCCACGGAGACCCTTAGATGGAAAGTAGGAGCTTGTAATCCTCCCCCTCTTAAATCACCCGGCCCTCTAACGTTCAGGGCTGGAATCAACTTGTTGACCTTGGCTTAAACCTGGCACGGTTAGACAGTGATTACATGCCTTAGTCCTCCCTAAAATGCACGACGCTGTACTATCAACAGAGAATAGCGTGCAAACACTGGATTGATCAATTCTTTAGAAAATTACGAAATAAAGTGAACTCATATTTGAAGTTTCTATAGGAATATTTTAAAAAATGTGGTAATTCTGGTATTAACCCATAGTTATCTGGTCCAATGAGTATAATTATGACGTTTAAAATAACCAGATTCCATCAAGTTAAAGATCCGTTTCTATAACCTCAGAAACGTTTTTGCACTTAACACTTTCTTCTCAGGCCAAAGGCAATAGACAAATATTACTGAACTACTGTTCACATAGTGTAAGGACTTAAACAAGGCTGACTGTCCGTTTATTTCTGCCTTCCGGTGTCTTTTGCACACGCAAACATAATCTTAATAACACTAATTCTTAAACAGTGATGCACAAACAAACATACGGTATATTACATGCAGTGTCAAACTGTTTAAAAAGGGGGATTGCGCCCCCTAATGTTCACATTGCACATACATTTAAACAACTACATGAGACATACAACCTCCCACAGTACATCCATGCTTCATATTGGCCTTGGATTCTGTTGTTTTTCTGCTTTCTCTAAGTAGAAAGGTCTTTGTAATCTTTTAAAGTAGTGTCAGTGTGGTCAGTGATCATAATTCTTGACTGCTGTGCATGTTGTGGCATGCATTTTTATGGCAATGGCAACTATAGACTTGACTTATCCTGCAGTGCTGGCCATGGAAAGTCAGCTGGCCTCCTTCATTCCCCTCAAACCTGGCTGATGTGACACAAGACAAGCAGCTTTGATTGTCTTGGCAGGGAGCAGTGGCATGTGACTGCTTGGGATCATGGCATCTACAGTCAGAGACACAAATGTCTACAAGCATTCATACATGCTATTCTTATGCCAAACAATACGTCAGTCCACCAAGTTACAATATTTGTAGTGTAAAATTCTCCCAAACGAGACTGAGCAAGTTTTTTTCCAAATTGGCTTTTAATATGGAAATACTGAAAGTACAGCTTACAACAAACAGACATAGACTTATGATATTTATAGTGACATAAAGTTTTAGTAACTTTAGTAACTGAAAAAGTTACAGATAGTACTTTAGGACCAAACAACAATAATAATAATATTCACAAAAATGAAGGTCAAAGGTCACACAAAAGACCATGTCCTCACAGAGTTTTTACGAACACTGCAGCTGTGCTTCTGGTTTGACAGGACAATATAGTGAAAAAGCCACAATGACGTGTGTGAGTAGTTTATCTCAACCACAAAAGAGGGGACAAAAGACTATATTCCCCACAGAAAAACATTCATATTGTTGGCCTTCCTTCCACTTACAAAGAAAAATTTAGTTTTGCTTACCTAATGTCCTCTTTTATATCAGTGTCTCTGAAGCAGTCTTCTAGGTATGAAACAGAAATAGGTTGTAGCACTTGCAAAGAAATTTTCTTTTGGTTAGCTTGAGCCTCCTTTGGTGCCAGTTGGATCAGTTTTGGTACATGGCACACCACAATGAGTACCTAAATGTTTATGAAGTTTTATTAATTATTTTAAGCTATTCTTTTAGTATACTTTGTGTCAGTCATTGCAGTAATAACAGATTAGTGCTAAACCTGACCCATTTGAAACTGCTGGTAAGTTCAAACAAACACCGTAAATTATTTGACCCAGCTCTAGTATGAAACATCAATATGACAGAAATAATCTTTCCCCATATCCAAATATAGATATTGTTGTTGTTGTTGTTGTTGTTTTGTTTTTGTTTTTTTGTTAGAAATGTGCTTCAAACTATTAAGGCATACTTTTTGTCACTTTTTAACAAATCCAGCAATAACTGGACTCACTTTGTTACTTCTTGAATATTTTTATCTTTATTTGTACAATAACTCTATTTTTAACACAACAAGGCCAAGTGGATTGACTCACATTTTTTTACATACAAACATACAGTATTACTCTGACTATCCAACTGACAGGCTACTTGAAATAGGTTAAGGAAGCAGTGATACATAAAAGTCCATCGAGTTTCACCAAAAGGTAAACAGTGATTGAAAACATTAGGAATATCATCCAGCCAATCAAACTGACAAGAGTTATGACCCTTCTTCCTCATCTTCTTCTTCGGGAACTCTTGGATCCACCTGAGGTCGAACAGATGAGTTTGCTGACCGTGTCAACTCATCCTCTCCTTGACTTCCAGCAGTTGGGTCATCAGTTGGCTCAGCACTGGTGTTAAGGAAGGCTTGGTACTGGTTCCAAAAGCCTGCTGAGCTCCTGGTGGCAGGAATGTTCAAGGACGTCATAGATGTAGAAGATGGAAGTTGATCAGTGGAGGAACGACTACTCCGGGCTGATGGGCGTGATGTCTTGGTTACCACACCATGATGTTTCATGTGCCCCTGGGGATGAATAGAATTTGTTAGTATATTTAATCATACTTAGGGTTATTCTAGGTATTCTAGGTATAACCACCGAACATACCCAAAATAATGCAGTATACAGTGAACTCCATGGGTAGTTTATTCTGACATATGACTGGAACATGTAGCTGGAACATGTAGGTTTTTATTTTAGGGTGCATAAAAAACTAATACTGAACTAATATTTCAACACAGTATGAGTGATCTTCAGGTTTCACGATAAAGATGCTCATTATAGTGAAGTATTAGTCCTGAATTGCAGGATACAGTACAGCACTAAAGCTGTAAGATATTTTTTAAGCCTGAAAAAAACTGTGTATTATAACAATTATGCTGCTAACATATCCACACATGTCCTCAATGGACATTATTTTTATACCTCACATATTTTCCCCTCACCTTCAGTCCGCTGCGGCTAGCATACTCTTTTCCACACTCAGCACAGCAATAGGTCTTCTTCTCAGGACGTGACATTGGAGAGGGGAGAGTTGGGGCAAGGTTGTTGGGGACAGAAGCATATTGCACTTCACTTGGAGCCAATCCACTAATCTTAACGCCTTCCACCTGATCTTCCCTCCCATATGAACCAAAATGAAATCTCTGACGCGTCTCCCTTACAAAAGAGGCTGCTCTCTGTGATGTGCCCCTTACTTCAGCCCCAGCAGTATCTGTAATCTCCAAAGTGGTTGTCATTTTGGGGTCCTCATCAGACACAGTTGCTTGGTCTTGCTTTGGTGGTGCTGGTGGAGTAGACTCATCTTTGTTTTCTTCCATGGGTTCTGGTGATTGTGGCTTTGGTGAGGCTGAGTCTGATTCTAAGGTTGGCGTTGCTTTAACATTAGGAAGATCTTGACTGATAAGGGGATTAGAGGAGGTACATGGACAGGTGTATGCAAAGGGAGCCCCAAGGGCAGCTGTGCTTTGTAAGTCCTCCATGCCATGGAAGGCATCACAGGAGGTAGATGCTACATCCTCTCCACAGTCCACTATCATAGCATTAGATGACACAGTGGTTTTGGTTGGCGAGGGAGTGGCTTTAGGAGCATAGGAATCAGCAGTGGCTTGTTGTTCTATTTGGCTGTCTTTGTCAACTGGGGAAGCTTGGTCTTTCTCCTGGGAGGCTGACAAGGCACTGACACAAAGGATAGGGGGCTCTGCACTGCTGAGTGGTGGAGTTTGTGTAGTGGGATTCATGAAGGGGTCGGGGCTAAGGTTGGAGGGAGGAATAAGGTCTGGGCTAGAGGACATAGACTTGCTGAGATTTTTGGTGAAATCAACCAATTTCATATTACTAGAGACAGGAACCAAACCAGCTGATGGAGTTTGCAATTGTGAGCCTAGGGCTGGGCTTTTATCTAGGCCAGGTAGAGGAGGTGTTTTATCAGAAACAGTATTTGGGTCAGTTGACTGAGACTGTGACAAAGGTTTGGGATTAGAATCAGTTGGCATCTCCTGTGCAGAATCCTCTATGCCATCTGAGGGCAACTGTCCACCAAGGTGCATACGAATGTGGTGCTGGAGCACTAGGGCATTGGTGAATTTGCGCTGGCACAATGGGCAGGAGTTCTGGACACGTGCATTGGGTGGTCGAGCATGGTGGGTGGCCAGATGTGACCGCAGGCTGCCTTTGGTAGAGAAGGATCGTCCACATATCTTACATGGAAAAGGGCGCTCTCCAAGGTGCGTAGCCTGGTGCAAACGCAGTGCTCTGGGACAGCTCAGCACCCGTAGACACACCCCACACTGATTAGTTGTCAGGTTACCAGCTGGACCTGTAATGCTCAGTGTTGGTAGCATGCCTCCCACCATGGCACTTGCTGCATTGGAACTCATGCCTAGGGCAGCAACCATCTCACGAGTGAAGTTTGAAACAGAAGTAGTGACAAGAGTAGAAGATGGTGGGGACGTCATGACATATGTAGTAGAAGTGTTGGCATTTGTGAAACGACTGTTGCCTGCACAGGCTGAAGAGGTAGTGGTACCGCTGGATAACATCTCCAGAATAGAGGTGGAAGTAGAAGAAGATGTCCATGGAGAAGAAGAGCAGGGAGGCACCTTCTCTAGCTTCTCCACCAGTCTCTGCAGCTTGGAGGTTTCAGATGTAGGAGTGGAGGTAGCCATGGAGGATGGCAGGGATGATGAAGCAGTGGTGGGTAGACCTGGGACTTTAGGATAAGAAGAAAAAGGGAAAGAAAGCTGAGAAAGGCTGGAAGAAACAAGTTGGTGGGATCCTGGAGTAGAGGGTAGCGGAGTACGTAGCAAGCTCAAGGCTGGATGGTTGTAGAGGGATGAGTGAGCAGCAGGGGTGGTGGAAGGAGTGGAGACAGATGGGAAAAGAAGCTTAGGCAGGTGGGCTAGCTGAGAATAAGCTGTGGATGAAAGCATTGGGGCATGAGGGGGAGTGTTTTCATCAAAGTGCTGCTGCTTGGCACCCTTGAATAACCCTGTGATAGTGGAAGACGAAGGCAAGGAAGGGTTCGAGAGGAGGGAGGTAGCCAGGGAAGAGGTGGAGGCTGAAGTGCAGGAGGCTGAGTAGGATGAGCCGGAGGTGACAGAAGCTGCAGCAGCCACAGCTGCAGCCCTATTGAGCTGCAAGAGAGAGTGTGAAATCAATGCTAGATCCACAGTAGGGGGCAGGGGCAGGGTAGACGGGGTACATCCTCCAGAGGCCCCCAGAGAAAAGCTGGTACTAGTGACACCGGTGTCCAAATTATTTGCACATGTTTCATCCTCAGGTTTATTTTTTCGCTTCTTCTGTATCATATTCATGCCACTGCTACTACTGCTGCTGCTGCTCATGGTTTGTCCCATATCTGATCCCCCACTGGCCCCTAATGCTACCCCAAACAAAGAAGGTGGTAGGAGTGAAAGTGAGAGCTCTGGGTTTTGCTCACGATGGCGCAAGAAATGTACCTTGAGATTGCCTCTTGTGGTGAAGCGGCTGAAGCAAACTGGACACTGGTAGGGTCGTTCCCCTGTATGTGAGCGTAGATGTATTTGCAAGGCAGAATCACTGCTGAACATTTTTCCACAGAAGCGGCAAGCATGCTGGAGGCGGCCAGTAGAGGCGGAACTGGGTGACGGAGACAAATCTTCTCCTACAGAGACAGACTGCAGAGCATGCTGGGAGTTTGGGACAATAGAAATTGAAGTGGGGAGGGAAGAGTTTAGAAAGGACAGGTCACTGTTCCCACTCACTGAAGTGGTATTTGAAGATTTCTCATGAAGATAACGGTTGGGCAGAGCTAAAGACAGGGCTAGTGGATAGGTGGAGGAAGCCATGGAGATGGCAGTAGAGGAAGAGGTGGAGGGAGTTGATGATTGAGAGCCCACCCTTAGATAACCAGGAGCCCCTGCAGTCATTCCTGACCCTTCCATCTGGGGCTTGTGGGGCTGCAGGATTTGAGACAAAGAACTGCTTGGCTTTGTGGGTTTGTTGGCTGGCTGAGAGGGGAGCAGGGAGGAGAAACATGTCAGGAGAGGAGCCACAGAAGTGGAAGTCTGAGGTGCTGTTGGCTGAGTTGTTGGGCTGGCTGCTCTCTTGCTGCCTTCCAGGCAGAGCTGAGGCAGGGAAGGCAGAAGATGCTGGGATGGTGTGTCTATGGTATAGGAGGCTCCACCAAGTCGTAGCACCTGTCTACAGATCTCCTCTGTTATTTGCATCTGGTGGATCTGCCTTTGCTGCAACACTCGCAGCTCCTCCAGGATCAGAGCAATGCTTAACTGTGTTCTAGAGGGAGCCGATGAGGCTGACGTCACTCCTGGGCTGGGAGTGGGAGTAACAGGACTTGGGGGGCCTTCAGGCACACGGCTGGGGCTTCCAGGGTGTGGTGGGGGGCATAGGGAGGCAGAGGATGATGAGGAGGAAGAAGAGGTGGTGGTGGTGGCTGACAGCCCCAGCTTGGGAGAGGCCATGAGTACACCTCGGGGTGGGTGGATGAGTGCACTTGCAGAAGATGTGGGACTACAACCAGGCAACTGAAGGGCAAGTGGATGTTGAGCTTGGGAAGAGACTAAAGAGTAAGGGAAGTCAGATGAGAAGGAAGGTTGTGTGTCTTTGAGGGGCTGGTGGGAGGGCTGACTCGGTGAACAGGACAGCAGTGGGCCTTCAGTGGGTGGAGAGAAGGTCTGAGAGCCCTTGAAAGATGAATAGAGAGCAAGGGGCTGCTGGGAGCTTTGAGAAGCAGAAGATGGAGAGCCCAAGGCAGATTCCAGGATAAATGGAAAAGAGTGTGACTTCACTGCCAAGTGATCATCTAGGGAAATTGAAAGGAAAAATGTAAATATATGTTCATTATCATTTAATGTAACAAAGTCATCACAATTTACATAATGTTACAAGCCTTTTTGTAAGATACTTTTTCTTTAATGATTTTAAGTAATAACCCATGTTTCATGGAACTTACAGTAATAACAGTGTAGCAAACAAAATCTAGCAATGAGAAGGTCTAGGATGTTATTTACTTGACGTCTAGGAAATGGAAGAATTTGGGTTCTAAGAGATGATTTAACCTCTAAATTTAATTCCCACCACCTTATCATGATTTTCCCTCTTTGTCCTTTCTATCCTCATCAGCTGCCACCTCCTCTCCTGTTGCCACACACACTCCTGCATATGGTAGGTGAACATATGTGCACATACAAACACAGATTCCACTGGTCCTCAGGAATACTCTACTCACACATAGAGGAAACTACCTTGTTTCCAGGGCAACACACACAAGACAATGGACTTTACCCCAATAAAGCCACATCCACACACTGAGACACTCTTCCATCGCTGCCTCTCTCTCTCTTTCTTTCTTCTTCCATTCATTCTGTTTTTCTTTCATCTCCTTAAGTGCCCTTCCCCCAGTAACCCAACAGGGTGTTAAGGTCCTGGTTGGGTACTGGACACTGCACAGGGTGCCTGGTTGGCTGGTATACTTGACCTTAAACACACCGGGGTCACATTCCTGATATGGTTTAGGGCCAGGGAGAGGAAGAGAGGTGGCATGTAAAGAAAATAAACAGCCCCAAAGACAGACATGATGATTCACAGACCATCAACAAGCTAACCAATCCCCTGAAAAGAATAGAGGGACAGAGGTGAAAGCACACACGCACACACACAATATACCTGTCCATGTGCCACAAAAAGGGACACTGTGCATACACTTTGTATGCACAAGGTTGCTTGTGCATACGCAAACACATACACAAGTTACTGCTGTTTGCTTGAAGGATACGATTTTAGATCGCAGTGTGGCCTCTATTCCTGTAACTGGAGGGGACAGACAGACACAAATACACTTATTCACACACACCCTGTTGCATACACACTTCTTCATGGGTATGTTAACGCTTCAGTGCTGAAGCAACAAAGCAGAAAGGGGACAATGTGGTCTAATGCTATTACAATAAGAACACCTTAAACAGTGTCTCATAAAGCTCCATTTTCCTTGGCCTTCTCATCCTTTTGCTTCTACCAAACCTGTTCTTGCTTTTTGTGGAACACATTTTTAAAGTTGCTTTATCCGTTTTCCCCCACAATTATTTCTCTATGTATTTCCTGTATATCCCAGTATTGTGGGTGGTGTCTTTGAAACTGGCAGTGAGGACACGGGGAGACATTTGGCTTTTTCAGGGAACAGAAAGCAGCAACTGCAGCTGCAAAAAATTAATTAAAAACTGTAGGCCAATAATTTCAACATGACTGGGTTTCTGAGCATGCAAGTAGAATATGCACCTAAATATTGCCTCCCATACAAATGAACCCAAACAGTTTAATAATGGTGGTAAGACTCAACTTATAAAAGATGATTAAGATTAAATTGTTACATCTTAATCAACAAATGAAAAACAAGTCAACAAACCCTTGAAGTTAACACTTCTTTTGAAATTCCAAAACTGCTATTTCCTATATGAGGTTGAACAGGTCGCCCTAGGGCAAAATTTACAATCCAGTACAAAGTGTTAAAGCATATGTTACAGTGACAGAAGATATACTATAAGATACAAGAACTAGCACAAATGATGAGGGAAAGGTGACTTCTTTGAGGTCTATACTTCCCATCCATTGTGTGACCCCACTGACTCCTACTGTGAACACTGGATAACCAGTATACTTCTGTTATATGGGCTATTTCTCACCATGCTCAAGTATCCGACAGGCACCGAGGGTCAGGCTCATAAACTGCTGCAGCCGTTTCTGTTTCCGACGGGACATACTTCTGCAGGATGGGACCGATGCAGGGGCGCATTGGCCAACACACAACTTTTATTCTGTCTCCCTGCACACTGAAAAAGTAGGTATCTAAAATTACTTCAAGGGGGAAAAAAATGAAGAAAAACTAAAGTATAATCTCTAAAACTATGACACTAAATTCTCCGGGTGGGTAGGTCCACGTTGGTGGCATTGTGGTGCAGAGGGGAAAAAAAAACAGAACTAAAGTGCAAAAGAGGCGTTTGTGACAGTTTCTGTCACCAAGTCTCCCTTTTCTCAAAGATCACCGTTGGCCCTCCTCTTCTCCACACACACACACACACACACACACACACACACACACACACACACACACACATCTCTCTTTCTACACAACTTACTTGTTCTACTTGTTCCTCCACTACTTTGCATTCAAATGGCGAGTGAACGCTTGTTTTTTGAGCCAAGAGTCTGCTGCCCCTTTTTAGTAAGCCCTCATATATTGACGCTGAAGTTCATCACATAATGGCGCTTGCCTGGATTTTCTGTTACTTATGCGTCTATAAAGCTCACTGATGTGCGTCTGTCTGTGCGTAACGGAGGGTAACTGTGGGCGCCCAAGCCAAAGCCAGCTCAATTGAATGATTTTTTTGCTTTAAATATATATTACATTAAACAGTACATATAGTGTCTCGGGTGATCTCGTCGCATATGCACGCACACAGTCTGTTCGAGGTGTGCGTTATGTGTGAGATTTAACGATGCTCTAAAGCAGGCTCCTGTCTGAGCTCAGTAAGCAGAGTGGCTGAAATGAGGTGGAATTTGCAACAATGGCGTTGAGGGAACACAGCTGAGTGAACATCACCCTCTCGGAGCCTCTCTAACACATAAGGCCACTGACTGCAGGCACAATGCTCCCTTTTCACCCTCATCCCGACTGCTTACCACGTGGAGAGAGGTAGCTTAATGAAAGAAAGACACAGACAGAGTGAGTGGGGCGAGGGTCATTTTTCAGCCAGGCCCTGTGACACCCCCTCCCCCTCCACCTCCCCTCTGTCTCTCTGGGGCTTGAGCAGAATAATAAAATGCACCCAAGGTTTGATGTCAAGTCTGAATGATATTGCTCTACAATGCTGTTGTGAAATTCCGAGTGTGAATGATTTAGAATTGGTCGTCCTCTGTTGGCCAGTGGAATTCCAATGCTTTAATATAACAGTGTAACACCAAACTTCATTTCTCTGGTGTGGGCCTGTGGACACTTGTCTATGTAAACCGAACAGTGATTTCGGAACAATATCAAATCATATGAAACAAAACCATGAAGATAAAAACATGCGCGTCATTGCGTAATATATCATTTTTTTGTCAAAGTCGTGATAAATGGTTGTTATTAAACAGTCAAAACGGAGAATATCGTTGCTTTTTTTTAAAACCAGAGCTCTTTTGTGCCAACAACGCATTTGTATTTTCGTGCCAGCTTGCCAACATGATCGCCTACGTTACGGTCAGACGTTTATTATACTGTTATTTGGAAACAAGCGTAAAATACGGCGGTGAGATGCGCGTCCCCGCTACTGTACAGCGACCTGTTGCACGCCACGCGCGCTCCCCATCATAACAAGTTATGATTCATAAAATATTATGACTTCTCCAAAAAACTGCCCCGGATGTGCATTTCCCCCACAGGCCGCTCGTCGTCGACACAACCCTTTCAAATATAACACAAAAACAACTTACCATGTTTGCAAAACGATGATTTTTGGCAGCGATATTGTATAATGACGGGGGTAACAAGCTCAGAAGCTTATGCTGAGTAAGATCGGCTCCGTCTCTCAGCCGGGACACTGGCGCAGCATTTGCCTATTCACTCCCAGGGATGCGCAGTCGGACAGCCGCATTTTTTTTTCAATTATTTATCTCCGTCGCAATTCACGTTTCTTTCTCTTATGACAAAGGGTTATTGTGCCTGTATGTATTTACTCATAGTCCAGTGGCAGCAGAAGAAGCAGGGGCGGTGCGGATAGCTCTACTCGCTGCCGGGGAGGATTATTTTTCTTGACCGTGCGTGCTGCTCTTCCTCTTCTCTTTGTAGCCTGTTAGTCGGGCCTGCTCCTGTCCGGCCTGTCTGCGCTCTCTGCGGTACTGTCTGTCTGTCTGTCTGTCTGGTGAGCAGGCTACTTGTCTGTCTCCCTGTCTCTTATAATTAATGGCCTTCGCCTCCAGACGGTCCTCTGGGAAACAGTGACCACGGTTACCTCCACATTGGCTCTCAGTGTGCATGCCACATTGGAGTGCAGGCCCGGGAACACACAGGGCTGCTTCAGTCGGACGGTGATTGAACATTTGCACAGGTGTGCAGGACTGTGGCTACCAAAATTGTTATAAAAATAACAGTTTTTAAAAAAATATTTGAATAACAATTTTCATGTTTATTTTCAGTGATAAAACATTTAGTTTTAAAGATGAAAAACATGAATTGTCCTCTCATTACAGCGCATGGGTTTGTGATTTATAATGTAAGGAAGCAAATAGAGGTCAGGACTATCTGAAAGTCAAAGTTACCCTATTGTCTTCACAACCATATTTTGGTCATATAAGGAGAAAATATACTGAAAATATATAGAATGGCATGTAGTGTATTTGTAACTAGCATTCCTTCTGAATGGCTCGCCATGTTCAGCAGCTCATTATTGTACAGTGAGTAGCTTCTTTTAAAGACCCCATAGCACATAGTGGTTGTTAATTCATCCCCTGTAGTGATAGACTGTGGTGCCTCCTCCTCTACTGAACTATGGTGTGTGTGTTTTAGAGTTTTACCATATTTTGTGCAGGAGTCAGTAGTTTGTAGCACAATAAGACCAGCACACCACTTAATTTGTGAGCTAATGATGGTGCTGGTTGTGAACATCTTGTTGCTTGGGCAATTTTCCAACTTAACACTGTTTTTATTACCATGATATTGATTGGACATGTCCTGTCAACTCACAACCTTGTCTTCTGCTACACTATTGTGGGTTATGTCCACTAGGTGTCTCTCAGAGACAAAAATTAGAGGCATGTTGCAGGAGTTATAAATGCTGCAAGGTGCTACAGTACCTGATCATTTAAATAAGACTAACCACACAAGTGGTTAAAGGAGGCACACATAATGCACACACTTTAAAAACAAAGTGCTACCAAAAATACAGAAAATAAGCCAAGACAGTGTCTTCATACTGTACCTTTGCATACTTTTACTTGTCTTTACTTGGTTTCACCAGTGTGTCACCGTTCTTATTAGTCTGTGTACTTATTATCAGCTCCTATAAACACTTAAGTGTTTGGTGCCACAAAGATATTTGTGCAGCATTGTTGTTATATTTGGAAAATCATTGTTTAATACACGTGTTGTTGTTGGTCTTGATTCAAGCTGCTCTGGTACTCATGGCATTCTGGACTTCGACCTTTCTTACTGGGTAACTGGATAACTGTACTGATTAAAACAGCAGTTTGGGCTGGTTTTCTAAAGGCGATTGTCCACCTGATAGTCTTCCTGTGAGATAGGTCCCCATCTAAGAACTAGTCTGACAGAAAGAGAAATAGATGATTCGTTCTCAGCCATAATACAAGAGAGAAATTTCTCTCTTTGATGCAGTTTCCTTTTTAAATTACTTATGAACCCATCTTATAAACCCATCTCTCTCATGGAAGCATAAAATTATGCTCTTTCCACTGCTACCAGGAACTGTGCCGTACCTATACCATACCGGTATAAAACCACTCATGCCTAGGCTGAAGCTGGGCTGAATAGTGTGATATCTGGCCCTACTCAGGTCCCACAGCGTGCTACTCTGCCCCCAACACGGCCATCTACATCACTACATTCTGAGTGGCAGAGAGAAAACTTGAGCAACAGGAGGTATCTCAGCTAAAGAAAGAGACCTGCCCACTTAAAAAAGAGAGAAAGAAAGGAGATGGCAGCCCATTATTTTTGTCAAATTCCTGTTTGCTCTGCTGTGCAGCTACTGTTGATGTCTGCCCGGGCTGATAGCTGGGCATCTGGCCTGAGTACGGGGCATTTACTGGTAGCAGTGAAAGATGTTAGTCTGTCCTAAAACACTTTGACCTCCATCGGAGGTGTTTTGCAGTGGAGTAATGCTTCCTCTGTGTCTCTTCCTAAAGAAAATGAAGATTAAAGAGTCTATTAGGGAGCTCTGGTCAAAACACCAAACACATCCCTCATGGTCTTCTGAGGCATTGTCACATTTAAAAAAGCGGTAAAGTGGGTGTGGCTCAGGAGGTAGAGCGGTCGTCCCCTAATTGGAAAGTCAGTGGGTCAATTCCCTGTCCTCTCTAGGCTACATGTCAAAGTGTTTCTGGGCAAGACGCTGAACCCCAAAGTGCTCCAGATAGCCAAAGCAGCACCTTGCAGGTACAGTGCCACCATCGGTGTGTCTGTGTGAGTTGGCGCTGCAGATGGCTGCCTCAGTTTTGTACCGGAGAAAAATTCCTTGTGTGTGTAAAATACATGCCCAACACCAGACTCAGAACCCTCAAAATCTCCTCCTTTTCTGTGTTTTGTGTCCCATAGGCCTTCCACGTGTGAAGCGAGCCACAAGAAATGGGGCATGAAGGAAGCAGGTGACAGAGAACAGCCATAAGGAGACCCTGATATGGATCAAGAAGACATAATCTAGAAGGGAGTAGGCCAGTGAAGTAAAGGAGCAGGGGAGATATGAGATAATATACAAAACAAGGCTGAGCAGGTGATGCAGAAAAACTAAGTGTGAATAGTAACCACATGTATTAATATTTCATTTGGCAACACAAAAGAAATCTTGTATTTTTTAATTTTTGCCCAAACAGTCAAAGGTTAAACCCGCACATACTGTAGCTATGGATGCTAACACTTACATGCTTGTACACAGTGATCTTTTGTGCATCACAGTGTCATTTTAAAACATGCACAATATATATTATAACATTTTTGTTATATAACTGCACAAAATAATGCAGTTCATCTTGATGGAGCAGTCAACTAGATAATCGAGTATTGGTTTTCTATATATACTGTTTCCCTTAAGTGGTGGGTCCTACACTTCTCCTCCACAATGTTTCTGTGACCAACAGAAAGGCGTCCAGGTCTAGAAGTGCACAGGGAGGGTCTGTAGAAAATATAGAAAATAGAAAACAGCACAACATGGCAACATTTTCTACAGACCAAAAATGTATGGGCTGGCACTACAGCGTTTGGGCCTGTCTAAATGGCCACATGATGAATTTAGCCATGCTAGTGATGTGGCTCTGTGTATGGCAATAATCTTCAATCAATAGTCCACCTTTTTGGTCTACTGCAATACCTTCTGACCAAATACCTACAAAACTACTGACATTTCCATTAGCTTTGGCTATACTTTATGTTTAGTGGTAGTTAGCTGAAAACAGCCTTCTCTTAAAACAGTGTTGCTTCACAATAAAACAATGTGAGTTGCTGAACAGACCCATAAGTTCGAAGGCTCATCAGATGTTAAAAACACTGCATAGTAGTTTATAATATCACTGCCACAGGATTTTACAATTCTGAAAAGTGATCACACAAGCAATATTTTAATCTTTTTTAGCAGACTGATCAGAAAGTAAATGGCCTTATACTTGTATAGCGCTTTTCTATGTGTTACAGCACACTCAAAGCGCTTTCACACTATTTGGCCAGTCACCCATTGGTGTCACACCAGGAGCAACTGGGGATTCAGTGTTTTGCTCAAGGACACTTCGACACGTGGACTGGACAAGCCAGGAATCGAGCCGCTAATATTCTGGGTAGGAGACAACCCACTCTACCTCCTAAGCCACAGCTGCCCCAACTGTAAAAACAGATAGCACGTTTCAGATTTAACAGGAATGTGCACTCGTGCTGACTGACATCACACATTAGTGTGGCATTAATTCAGTTCCTCCCTACAACTGTTCCATGAACTCACCCCGTTAAGAACAATACAGTATTTTTTTTTACATTACACATGTTAAGTTTTCCTTAAGTCATTTAAAACAACCTAATAATTTTTTTGATCTCTTTTTTGTATAATTTAAGGATGCATTGTGTCTTTTTATTGTAGAATTTTTAACATAATAAACATTGAATCTCATAGGTTCTTGACAAGTTGTTTTGCTTACACCTTTTACTGATCTCTTTTGACGTTTGTTCTGTATGAATTTTCTCATAACACACCAGGACAAGCATCCAAGAAAAATACAGACTCCTCCCTCTCACAGGCATATAGCCAGCTCAGAAATTATCACCTGCACCTACCAGCAAATAATACATTTACATTATATTCCCCAAAACAATATACTGTCTGCCTAAATTTAATAATGCCTAAATTTAGCCTGCTTGTTACTGCCTTGTTGCTTTCTCCACCTATAGCATTAGATTATTTATACTGACAGAATCAGCCTGAGTTAAATTTTGTGGTTACTTTGTCAGGTATAGAAAATTACTGACTTCCTCGCTATGTGGAGCAAACCTCTGTTGAACTTGTGGTTTGGAAATTCACAGCGAGTTATATTCCTACGTTCGCCTGGTGAAAGTAAACCGTCGTGTTTGCAGCTGCAGCAATACACATACATCCCTAAAAACAAAAGTCAGCAGAGTCACTCAGTCTGATTTCCATACACACATCACACTGTCATGTAATCATGATGTTACTGTGGTTTAAACTGTGTACACATAGTATTCACTACAAGTAAAAAAAAAAAAAACAGATAAGCCTTCTCAGAACAAATGCTAGTTTTTGATTTGTGACCTTAAAGGAAACCAGCTTTCATTAAAGTGACCTAATAATTTTCCCCACACTGTCCTCCCATCTCAGGGTCATGTGGCCTCTGACAGTGGGGGGAAGGTGAATCTGTGGGGATTAGCCTCCACAGTCAACATACTGACCGCACACCACTCACTCACCGATGGCCACAGTCCATAAACACCAGGGCACCAACAGGTAAGAAATCACACTTTCTCTTTTTTTAGACATTTATTTAAAATTCTCAGATAAATTATTTGGGATGAATATGTGTGAGTTGGAATTACACATGTAAAAGCAGAGCATGTGTTGTGAAAATGAGGTTAACAAGCTGTTAGAGAGGATGTGATGCCTCCACTGCAACTGCTTGGATCTGAGTCAGGGTAATCCTCACCTAGGGTCAGTGTTACATCCCCTTTACACTTACACACTGGTCATATTTGTTTTTATCTACTGTAAATTGTAAGCAAAGTCATTTGCATGGTTACATTTAATCAAATTACCTCACTAAATACTCATTTAGTTCCGTTTATCTCTTACTTCAACTCTAGGGCATTTGTAGTTTGTAGTGTTACAGTGTTACTGTTCATAGAGCACAGTAGGCAAAGGCCCAGCAGACAGGATTACTGATCTGAGTGCACAGTTGGAGTGAAACAAAGACTTCCACCACAGTAGTGTTATTTACATGTAACACCAGCATATCACTTCCACTAAATATTTCTTGTCTTTACTGGGTGTGGCACAGGTCTACAACATACAGCATGTACAGTAACTGACTGCTGTCAAAATCCTCTGTGTGTTGTTAGGATGTGTAACGTGGTGAATAATCTCACTCGTAGACAATTGGACACAGGCACAAGACACACGCTTAATGAAACAGAACTCAGGGAAAGAAAAAAAACACAACTGGAGAGACAAGTAGAAACAAATGAAGAAGGTGCTTAGGAAAGCATGGAAGCAGGCCCAGTCTCTGGAAACAGCTGTGGCTCTGTGGTAGACCTCACACTGGTGAACAGGTAGTGAAGGTGTATATGCACGTGTTGACAGGTGTAAATGATTGTCTGTGATTGCCAGTGATCAGTACTCCCCTGACGCTGATCATGGGGGAGGGGATGAGAGAGACGTGATAGGTTTTGCCTGTGAATGAAAGCTATTCACTGTGTTGCTGAGTTCTCTCTTCTGTATAAACCCACTGTTTCGCTAGTAGCCTTGTGTGACACACACAAGCACCGTTGACTATGGTGTCCCTGGAAGAGGAGCTGACCTGCTCCATGCACCGAGACATCTTCAGCCAAGCTCAGCCCCTGCCCTGTGGTCACAGCTTCTGCCCCGCCTGCATCCGTGATGCCTGGAGCGGCCATGGGTGAAGGCAGAGGTCACCTGTCCCCAGTGCCAGGTGGAGTATGGTGAAGTGTTGTGTGACTGCTGCCCCCCTGAGGCAGAGGAAGGGCAGCCATCATTGCTGTCAGGGCCTGCCTGAAGTGTGAGGTGTTGCTGTGTTCTGATCACCTCCAGCCCCTTCTGCAGAGACCAGTGTTTAACACCCACCTGTTAGTGGAGCCGCTGTGGGACCTCTCACAGCAAAGGTGCCCAACACACACAGAGATATTCTGCTATTACTGTGCCAGTGAGAGGATGTACGTGTGTGGGGATTGTCTGCTGGAGGGAGGCCATGCTCAGTATAAAGTGAAAGCCCTGAGACAAGTGGAAGGGGACCTGAAGGTGAGCTGAAGGTGTATAATATGTGGTTTTTATGTTTGTTTCTGTACAAGTGTAGGGTTGCTGAACTACTGAATGTGTGGCTCCACAGGTCATTCTCCATACGCTGCTTAGAAAAGCAGAGGAGAAGCTGAAAGATGAACAGCGAATCCACAAATAGCATGAGACTATAGATTCCACCATGGCTGTGAATAAAAATATTTAAACTGCAAAGCAAATGCAAAATAATGACTCATTCAGTCGAAGCTGTTCTGCTTATACTGCCAAAGTTGTGACTTTCAAAAGATCCTAAATTTAAATCCTTTCTATGTATAACATTCAGGTAGGCCTCCTTCTGCTGATTTTTTTCAGATGATTTAATTATGTACCAGTCACTGATCTGGTACCAGTCACTGATCTCTCACTGTTGTTTGCAGGACTGTCCACAGAAGGACAACACCCAGGTGGAGCGGCTGGGCTCTGACCTGCCAGTCCAGGTGAGAAGGCTGGTGGGAGATCATCAAGAGGGAGAGACAGCAGGTCATTAAGCATGTGCACAAGGACTTCTCCAAGGTGAGGGATGACATAAGCCAGACACTTTGCATTTAGCAATACCTGGCCTCGTTGCTGGCAGAGACGGACCCCTTCCTGCTCATCTGGGTAAGGCTTGCTGCTGAGAAAACACTGCTGCACATTACCAGGGTAGAAACGATTTGGGTTCTGTTGGGCTATGCAGAATGTCTCAATCCAGGGGCTCTGTTTGCTACCAATATTTAGCTTCTGTTTAGGGGCTGGCAGTGTTGGCTGGTCTTCTCTCTTGGGTCAAGATGGAATATCTCAACAACTATTGTGTCAGTCACCATTAAATTTTGTTCATATTGGTTTGTGTTGGTACAGCAGCAATGTCTGGGGCAGTGGTGGCCTAAAGGTTACAGAAGCGAACTTGTGACAAGAAGGTCGCCATCTCCAGACTGGCAGGATTTGACTGGGTGGGACAGGTGACAAAGCAAGACCAGCACTGCCCTCATCAACACCACTGTGGTGCCCTTAACCTCACTGTCAGCAGGTCACACTGTGGTTGTACAGGGTGGTCCCGAAAGAGAGAGGTGACCTCTCAGTGGACCTACTCTGGCTCAATAAAGGCTTAAAAAACGAAACTCTGCTGGCCAGAGTGAACACACAGCACAAGACCCTTGTTTTCCAGCCGAGGTTGACAGCGTGCAAATCTTGCCTGCAACCAGGTTCCTCTCATTAAAATACATTTGACACCAGCAACTTTTCCTGCCTTGGTTGAATGAACCACCACCTGTTTGCACCTCCTCCCACCTGCACATCGCATGCTCTGTGATTGGCACAAAGATATCACAGGGACTTGCGATGCAAATTTCAAGATGAGTGCTGCTTGCTCTGGTCGCTGCCACTATGAAAACAGAGTCATTATTCTTTCATGGCATTTGGGATATAGCCTGTAGTTGGGGTTTCAGTGCTGAAGTGATGTTGATGCTATTTACCATGATGTTCAACTGTTTTATATGATGTGCACCATATGATCTGTGTGGGCAGCTGTGTGATGACAGGTAGATAAGACCTGTAGACAATAGTTAAATGTTTGTAAGTGGTGCCTCACTGGTGAGAAGGTGTGTAATGAATGTACTGACACGCCATTGTATTATGTTACTACTCATATACTGTTCACTTTGTTTTACAGAGCCTGTGGATATTGTTTTAAGCATGTGAACACGGCATCGCTGTTTGCAGTTTGAACCCACAGAGGATGCTGTTATCATGCAGTTTAATCTTGTTAGTGCTTGGAAAGAGCTGCAGTTTGCAGCACAGCCATGAGGTTGTTTACCATTAGTATTATTTTTCATTTTGTCAAATATATTACAGAAAAAAGGTAGCCAACAGATCTACCCAATAAAATATACCCAGCCACGGATGTATATACTGTATTTGAATGAGTGTTGAACCTTTGTTTTCTTATCCAGTTGTGCCTTTTCACTGATTTCTGTCATTCTTTGAATCATTTTGTCACATTTTTCTCTGCCGGCCTTGACTCCTTCTTCACCAGGCCTTTCAGTTAGATAAAACAAAGTAAGTTCAGAACACATCAGTGACACTGTGTGAAGTTACACAACCAGACAAAGGTTTGAACACACTCTCTCATTCAGTTAAATGGGAAAGCGTGTACAAACATTTAACTTGAACAGAGAACATACAGAGCAAGTATCGAGATTTCATCACCGCTGCCTCAGTGAACTCAAGAGGAAGCTCTGTAAGTAGTAGTGGAATGACACTGTTCCCAGTCTTCATGCTAAGCTAACTGTCTCCTGGCTTAACTTCATATTTAACAGACAGATGTGAGTGTGGCACCAATCTTTGCATCTAGCGCAGGGCATTAAGAAAAGAAGCATATTTCTATATTTCCTTTAAGTGCTATTCCTTTATGATATCTTTCACATTTGGATTTGGTATATCACATGATTTAAAAGTTATTTTTATTACATTTTTTATTTTGAAAAATGTACCACAGTGTTTGTGTTTTTGATTCATTCTGAAATGAACAGACTTTGCTCATGGATGGTTGCATTTCAGCAATATGTGGGTGTCACCTGGAAATATCCCTCAGTTGACAAAAAGTAAAGAAAGCTTTGTTGTCATTGTAGGTGCAGTTTGCCCATCAGAGCCAGACTTAACCAGTATAAATTGTCACAATTAGTCTATACTTCAAGTAAGAAAACATAAAAAATCTTATTTTATTTCCTTTTCCCACAGTAACCAGTCCTTTGACTGTTAAACAGTTTCTATGCCCCAAAACAACTCAATATGTTTCCATCAAATTTATACCTGTAGAGGCTCTCAAACCTGTTCAACAGTGTTTGGTCTTTTTTTTAAAGTTACATGGCATGAAACTACTGATATTAATATGCTATCTGTAGCACCTTTACCTATGGTCAAAGTAAACATGGTACTTACAGTATCTTCACCTGCAGCTTCAGATTTTAACCCAAATGCTCCTTGGTTAAAATAGCAGGTATCATGGAACCTGACTCAGCAACATGACAGGAAACTGGCAGCCTGGCACAACCGTAGGAAGACCTGCCTCACGTACCAAATGACTGACAACCGAGTTGCAGTAGCTGTCGACTATGGTGCAGGTACCATCACCTTCTCTTAGGTGGGACCTTCTAGCAACCTGACCGCTTTCACTCAGCCGGTATGCTTGGGCTTCGGACTCTACAAAGCTGAGCTCAACAGCTGCATCTCCATTGTCAAAGTATGAGGAGGAGCAAGGGGACCCGGTTTGATTTATGCAGAGCCCTGTCAAAACAAAGTGGTGATCATTTATTTTTCAAACCTTGACCAACTCAAACCTGTAACCCCTAAGCTTCCCTGGTTCTCTCCACTCCCTCGTCAGTAAAGACTATATCTCCTAAAACTGTGATCAGGTGATACTACCCTGGACAGTATTTCCAACAGAGAACAGTGAGAACGAAGCACTGATGAGTGAATATAATTTTGATTTGAGGGCAAATGAAAACTCATTTGGAAAAAGATATAAATAGGTTTTCATATGAGGATTACAAGATTCTTATGTGGTTTTCATTTCACAGTGAATAAAAAACACAGGTGCCTCACTACTAAAACACATAGACTGAGTTGCCAATTTATTAGGTACACCCAGCTGTAGTCTAATACTGTATGAATGTCATTTTCGGCTTTTCCCGTTAGGGGTCACCACAGCGCATCGTCACACTGACAAGTCGCATGTTAACATTTGGCATGTGTTTTATGCTGGATGCCGTTCCTGACTCGAACCCGGGCCTCAGCGGTGAGAGCGGTGAATCCTAGTCACTAGTCTATCAGGACCCCTAATACTAACTGCCCTTAAATAAACCGTACATTCATGAGGACTATCATGTTCAGTTCTTGGTGAAACTGTTTTAGACATGTGTTGATGTAACTTCTTGGTCATTTTGGAGGTTGTACTTTATGGTGCTGTTGAACTGTGATTCATCCAGGGGTGTTTTTAATGTTTTGTCAAACCACATTGCTTTAAACGGGAGGATATGATGAAGGACATTTAGTCTGATCATGAGTTTTCGATACTGTGAACGAGCCTACCTCAGTCTCACTGAAATCTGAATTCAGTTAAGTTAGAGGGAGTAGATTGGTGGAGGATGAATGATTCAGCTTTATGTCTGCTGATAAAAGAAGTTACTTATCTAGAGAGAGCAGTGGAGCTGTAAATGTTTTTATTCATACGAAGGTGCACGAACAACCTTGATCCTTTTTAACTCTGTTTGAAAACACAGGACAGATTCACTGATTTGACTGGATAATAAAGGAAAAAAAGGGAAATGACTGCCACTCACTCACTAACTTTACTCTTTGAAGTGTCTCAGATACCCAATTATCTTCCCATTTTCTTTATGTTGCTGTAAAGGTGAGTGGGCGGACAAAACATAGAGGGTGAGAAAGAAGCAGACGGAAAAGGGGGTGGCTGAGAGAGAGAGACAGAGGGATCAGAGCATAATCTGGCTTGGTTCCGTTCAGAGTGTCTGCAGTGCTGTGAAATAATGTGATAGAGGAGCAAGAGAAGAAGTATTTTTGCCCATATTACGACACTTCGGCCAGGAGGAAACAACTGTTTTCACCAGTTAAGGAATACAAGACTTTTCAGATGGAATCAGGTGATAATTTATCTTTGTTATTCACAGATCACACAGTAGTCAGGTCATTTTAGAAGACCTATTTTAAGGTTAATAATGAGTCTTTTTTGGACTAATGTGAGCCCTTCTTCAAGCAGAAAACAGCTGTATATCTGTGTGTGATGGAATATGTTTCATTAAGGCTAAAAATGACATATTTCTCACATGCTCTTGCTAATTTTGGCCAAAGATAATTTTATTTTAAAAGTTAAGTAAGCAAAAGTAACTCTAAACTCTAACCTAATGTTTCATTTCTGAGTTAAACCAAAATAAAGGCAGTCAAACCTGGAGAGAAAATAAAATAAATTGCATGAAGTGACATTTCTTAAAGTATAGCGACTGACTGTGTATGCGTTAAGTGTGAAACAAAAGCACAAGTGAGAAAACAAGTGTGTGTGCTGTGCAGGGGAGCGCATGTTGAGCAGCTTTGGGAGGGAGTGTGGTAGAAGACAGATGGTCACTCAGTGGAGTTGTTCCCCCACTCCCTCTCTCTTTCTCACTCCCTTCTGAGTCCTACATCCTTCCCCTGTCACCTCTCCAGAATCTTACCTCATCTATTCTCACTTCACCCCTCCTCAGCATCTTTACAGCCTCCTCTCCATCATTCACAGTCTAAGCCCTGGATCTTCAGTCACTTTGCTGCTCCTTTATCTCTTTGACCCTTTTCTTCCCTGTCCCCAGCTGCTTCTCTTCTGCCTTCCTGTCTTATTTTTTGCTGAGGACATCAACTTAAAAAATACCCAGAGATTTTTCTGAGGACTGTCATTCTGGTCCCTACTGACACATCACACAGGACACTGGAGAGATTTGGGATTTGTGGGGGCAAACAATAAAACTAAAGGGAAAAACAGAAAAGCTGTGATAGACGGCCATGTCCAATGAATTACTGAGAGTTTCATTTGAATATTGTTTCATTTTGAGATCAGTCTGCTGGGTTTATTGCTGCCTTGGTGCATGCTGATACTGCCAGCTAAAACTGTAAACAAGTTAAAGTTATAACAGGTTTTTTTCTCTCCTACAATTTTAATCTAACCCTCTCTGAACTCTGAGAGAAACCTGGAAAATTTCCAGAAGGGAAAGTTCCTTAACATAGTATGTGTATATATGCTTCACACTGTCCACAGTGACACTTCTCATAATAGAATAAATTAGAGATATTCAACTAAACATCCCTGGTTCAGTCATGCATCCCAGGCCAGTCTACACTGATCTCCAGATACTGCTGGGTGTGCTCCTGTTGTGGGGACCTTTGGGGTCCAGGGGCCAGAATGACACAGAGCCCATCATCCTTGAGGGAAAATGCTTGGTCGTATGTGACTCCACTCCTTCATCTGAGCCTGCCAGCAACGCCCTTGGCATGTCCGTCCGGTCCGGCTCAGGGAGAGTGGCCTTCTCTGCCAGCCGCCAGACCAACCACGAACCTACAGACATGAGCAACCGCACCATGATCATCTACTTTGATAATGTAAGTGTGTCTGCTGATGTGTGATGTGTATGCTATGCAGTTTCACAGTTTAAATAATGCTTATTCTTGACATGACACATTCATTTGAAAAACTGTCTACAGTTCACACATCAAAATGCAGACAGGTGACAAATGAAAGGAAACCCCAACACAAAGTGTCAGTAAGGTGCTGGCCCTTCATGTGCCACCAGAACAGCTTCAGTGCTCCTTGGCATTGACTCTCCAAGTCTCTGAACTCTACTGGAGGGATGAACACCATTCTTCCAAAAAATATTCCCTCTTGTGGTTTTTGATAATGGTGTTGGAGATGCTGCCTAACATGTTGGTCCACCCCACCATAGGTGTTCAACAGGGTTGAGACCTGGTGACTGTGAAGGTTGCAGCATAGGATTCACATTATTTTCAGACTCATCAAACCATTCAGTGACCCCTCATGGATGGGGGCACTGTCATCCTGGGAGAGGCCACTTCCATCAGGATAGAAATGTTTCATCATGGGATAAAGGTGATCACTCAGAATATCATTTTCACAGTGACCCTTTCAACTAAAGGGACAAGTAGACTCAAACCATGCCCACATCTGCATTTGTTATGTTTCTCTGCTTATTTATTCAGGTTTTTCCTTGAACTTGCCACCTGTCTGTAGTTCAAATGCTCATTAAAATCAGGAGACCTACCACGTATAACAAGGTAGTTTCATCCCCCTGAATATTTCACAAATATTTCACAGTGCATTACTAAAATGTTGATCAGTTTTCCCCACACAGCTTCTGTATGCTGTATTCCAAGTATTTTGTAAACAGAGGTCTCTGCTAATAAGATGCACATATGATTAGAGATCTGACAGAGTGGTAGAATGCTAATGATGTAAACACTGAAATGTTGGACTCACAGTACAGCTATCTGGTGGCAAAACTGTTGGATTATGCTACATAGGCTGCATTTGCATGGGCATTCTGGGCTTTTTGTTGAATGTAAGTGTAAAACTATGACTTTGTATTTTGGGGGAGACTGTTTTAAAATGCATGGGTAAAAAAAGGAGCCAAATGACCCTGGAGTAAGCATAGAGTGTGTAAGTACAGTGAAATCTTTTGCCAACAGCCTTTGGATTTTCATGGCTTTCCAAAGGGCATTTCCTCCATCTTACCTTGTACACACTAATATGTCTGCTTCCTTCCTCTGCCTGCCTTGCTGTCGGATCAGATTTTGGTGAATGTGGGCACTCATTTTGATCAAGAGAGCAGTGTCTTCCTGGCACCAAGACGAGGGGTGTATAGCTTCAACTTCCATGTTGTAAAGGCCTACAATAGACAAACTATTCAGGTATGATGCCTCGACTGTGACAGCAGCAATGGATCAACATGCATACTAACCCCTTTGTTTCCTCTGTCTTAGGTCAGCCTGATGGTGAATGGTTGGCCAATGATTTCAGCTTTCGCTGGGGACCAGGATGTGACCAGAGAAGCTGCCACCAATGCCGGCCTGGTGATTATGGAGAAGGGGGACAAGGCCTACCTCAGACTAGAGCGAGGCAACCTGATGGGAGGCTGGAAATATTCCACCTTCTCTGGCTTCCTGGTTTTCCCCTTATGAGAGGGGTGGATGGAGAGCAGGATAAAGTGATGTAAGGTTGACAGGAGGAAAACTGACTGGAGTAGGAGTGAGGGAAATAAGAGAAAGCTGGG